CGCATGCACTCTCTGGCCCACCTCATCACACCGGTAACACAACTCGTCGTGTTGCTGGTGTGATGAGGTGGGCCAGAGAGCGGATGGGAAGGTGGAGGTGGGATTGCTTCCATTGATAAACAGGCCAAACGTCGCTGCTTACCTTCTTAGAATACAGTCTAGTAAATATAGCCGTTACTGTAAAACAGGAAAGTTTAACGACCAAAAACTTTTTTGTAATTTTGTAATTTTGGCATGATATTGTGCAGAACGTTTAACGATGGCTACCTGGCCGCCCATCTGTATGGGAATCTTTACATAGACATCTCAAACCGGGTGCGCGATAACGTTTGTTCAGATAACGAAAAATAATTGGTCGTTAAAGCGTTTGACTTTGCGACTCGTTAGACTTTCCAGTTGTACAGTAACAGTTGTTGATTGCAGCACATAGAGTGGATACTGTAAAACATACGATTTTGGGTGAAGTTATTAAAATTTCGGGATCGGGGACCTGCCAGGTTTCTGGTGTAATTTTGGATTAGGTGACCAGCGTTCCCTTCACATACAGTGCATACTCTGGTGCCTTTTACGTGTAATCTAAATTTAGGTGCTTGTTTTCACTACCGAAATCACCGAAATTGAAGTTACACCGAAAACATCGTGTTTTACAGTGCTGTAATGTTGTTCTTGCCCCGTTACTACCCAGTCAGGATATTCCACTGACAAGCATAGCAAAGGGCGAGCCATTCTCGAAATCCATCCATTTTGGTGCCCACCACGCATGCCCTGTGCAAATGTCGTAGGCGGTCGGCCCCGGAGTTAGGACCGACCCCAAGGCTGCGGTTCGACATGAACTAACTTACTTACTAAACCATCACATTACAAGGCCGTGCAGTGGTGGCCACTTGGAGAGAGTCCACCAACATAATTACTCTTACGCACGCACATATACCTAGACATACTCTCACACACACACTCAGGCATATACAGACACGTACACTCACACCAGCGTTCAGGTTTACTCACATCTTGAAAGGAGCTAACTTAGTTCAAGAGACGATTTTGAGAGCACAAGGCAAGACAGACAAAAGCCAAAGCTTCCGCCTGAAGGCGGAAGGCAAGAGAGAGAGAAAAGCAAGGTGATAGCAATAATATCTAGTTGCGGCCATGGAAATCCATGGCCACGAGATTGCTGGTCCCGCATGCAATAGCGTATCAAACCGTAGTAAATATGTGTACGAACTGTTGCATAAAGAGCGGGAGCCATGTGGGGAAATAACAGCGTATACCAAATAAGGAAGGCCCCAGGCCTTGTGTAAAGACATAAAATAAAGACGATTATGAACCAGTTTAGGGGTCGTCCATAATTATCGAACTTTTTTCACGAAACGAAATAATTTCGTTATGGGGTGGGAGGGGGTTGACCAATTTCGTTTCAGAAAAGTTCGATACATGTACATGGCCATAGGAGCAGTGACACACTTGCGACTTTTGTTGTATATGCATGTATATGTCAACAATTTTTACGTTCTGAGGGGGAGGGAGGGAGGGGTTGGGTCTAAACTAAAATAATTCGTTTGGTGAAAAAAGTTCGATATTTACGGACGGCCCCTTACGGGAGACTGATAAATAATTAGACACCTAAATAAGAAATACTTGTCCCGTAGAGGCCTAAAAGGCACGTGTCAATAGTATGGATACGACACAAACACGGAAATCCAACCTGGCAAGTTCCGAAAACTGCAAAGTCATGAACTAAAGAATCGCGATCAGCGTCAGTGCCTGGACTTCTGCGTTCGTCTGGTCACCGCTCAGTCCGTTTATGTCCTATTGCAACGACCCGTTTGTATCCCTGGCACTACGTTTTAACACGGATAGGCGAAATTTGCCTGTGTACATCTGAGAGCGCCGTTGTACCGCGTGATAGGCGGAATTTGTTTGCTTGCCCCTTGCTGACTTGCGGTGGTTTTCTTTCTGGGTATATGCAAACGTTTGTTTAGCAGGCTATGGCGGAGTCTCGTCGCAGGCATCCGCCGCTAGCATGGCCAGTAGCATGGCTCAGATGACGCTGAACGGGCCGAGCCACGGGCAAGGGGCCAGCGCTGGTGGTGCGGGGACTGGCTACGAGCAGCACGCGGTAAGACATTGCTGGGTAACTGGCCTTTTTCCACCTTAAATGATCGTCTTTCCCCATTTACACTGATATCAATTTATGTATTCCGAGTCACCCACGTTTGAAACGGTGGTTGGTTGCGGTGCAGTCCATGGTTTGAATGCAGGGATGGTGAAGAAAGTTTGGTACAGTATAGCAGAACATTTTCGGACGGGGATATTTTCGGACGAAGCCGAATTTCGACCTTTCATGCCCATTCTATTTTCGTACAGTGCTGCATGCTAAATGCACGTGTTCGCATGCAGTAAGAGTATGCATGCGTAATCTCACATGAACAAGTTTTAGTTCAGCCTCCTAGCCTTGACCGTTCTTATTTTCATGTATTACAGTCTATGCGCAGTTGAGTCACAGGGTATGCATTGGTATGCTGTGCTTGGTGAAATTCTAGCCTGGCCGATCGTCGGCGCCTGACAGTACTGCACTGTCTGTAGAACTATTGTGAATCGTTGTAACACTTATCTGGAAATTTTAAAGTAAAAAAAAACCTTTGCCAATTTGGCCAAAAGTAAGGAACAACACCCTTCATGCTCCTTCTCTCTTTCTCTCTACCCTTACTTCCTTGCCTCCTCTTTCTCTGCTCTCTCTCTCTGTGCTCTCTCTCTCTCTCTCTCTCTCTCTCTCTCTCTCTCTCTTCTCCTCTCCTGTCTCTCTCTCTCTCTCTCTCTCTCTCTCTCTCTCTCTCTCTCTCTCTCTCTCTCTCTCTCTCTATCTCTCTATCTCTCTCTCTCTCTCTCTCTCTCTCTCTCTCTCTCTCTCTCTCCTCTCTCTCTTCTCCTCACCTGTCTTTCTCTCTTCTCCTCTCCTGTCTTTCTCTCTTCTCCTCTCCTGTCTATCTCTCTTCTCCTCTCCTGTCAATCTCTCTTCTCCTTTCCTGTCTATCTCTCTTCTCCTCTCCTGTTTATCTCTCTTCTCTTCTCCTTTCCTGTCTATCTCTCTTCTCCTCTCCTGTCTATCTCTCTTCTCCTCGCCTGTCTATCTCTCTTCTCCTCTCCTGTCTATCTGTCTTCTCCTCTCCTGTCTACCTCTCTTCTCCGCTGCTGTCTATCTGTCTTCTCCTCTTCTGTCTATCTCTCTTCTCCTCTCCTGTCTACCTCTCTTCTCCGCTGCTGTCTATCTGTCTTCTCCTCTCCTGTCTATCTGTCTTCTCCTCTCCTGTCTATCTCTCTTCTCCTCTCCAATTTCCTTTTTTCCTCTTCTCTTGTGTTTGTCCTGTGCACAGCCGTCAACATCCTTTGGCTCCTCAACGTACATGCCTAGCGCGGCTGGCCACCACACTTTCACGGGTCACCCGTAGGCAGCCGGGCCACACGCCGGTAGCTAGACGGTCGGAGCGCACATGGCACTAGTGTACGTGCTCTGCCAGCCTGGCCCTCCCCAGCCGCTGCTGGGTGACCGGACGAGGATGGCAGTTGCGCTGCATGAGCTACCTTGCGCTCCACCGATCTTCTTGTAGCATACACACACACACACACACCCACACACACACACATACACACATGTACGCACACACACACACACACACACATACTTAGCATACTGACCTGCATTGTAGCTAACATAGACGACAGTCGGTCCATTCCATTGCGCCGCACGGTGAACATGCTGAATCGCGACTTCGGTCAACGGAGACTCTGAGTAACTCTCCCGTTTAGAATTTTAGCTAGGCTACATGAGTACATGGCGACTCGCATCACCATCACCGTGGAGGTAGCATTAGATTTAAATTTCCGGAGGTCATCATCTTTTCCCATGCTTATTTTTTTATTTTTTTATGATTTTCTTCTGATTCATCATGCGACCAATCCCCCTATGCCCTCCAGTGCTCTATCCATTCTATGTGACCCAGTTTCCGTCCTCGATGACGTCATGATCCCTCAACTCATCCACAGCCATTGCCGCAGACCTAAACCATAAAACCTTTGACGACGACGACGACAACGACATCATCTCCATCAACACACCATGATGACTGATGATCAGACACTCGGCTCATTGCCGTAGGGCCGATCTCCTCGCTAGTCCGCAACCGCAGCCAACACCATTCTTCTCTCTCTTCTTTCTCTCTCTCTCTCTCTCTCTCTCTCTCTCTCCCTCCCTCTCTCTCTCTCTCTCTCTCTCTCTCTCTCTCTCTCTCTCTCTCTCTCTCTCTCTCTCTCTCTCTCTCTCTCTCCTCTTCCTTCGTAGCGCTCTCCACCCCCCCCCCCATCCCATCTCTCTCTCTCTCTCATCTCTGTTGAGTGTTGAGTGTTTCCTCGTTGTTGCGTTTGTACTGGTCTCGATTTTGTCCCTGGTACGTATGTCGCAGTACCATATTGTACGTACGCTCGACCTCGTGTGCATTCTCTCAGTTGTTGCAAACCGTGGTGAAACCTACTGAATGTTCCATTGTTGTTTGCATGACTTTGTCTTGTCAGTCTGAACCATGCTGACGTTGCATTCTTCGTGCGTTGATCAGCTTTGTCTCGACCATTGTCAAGGTGTGTAATTTCTTATTGATAATCTGAAGCGTCTCTCGCTTTCTCCCGCCGTTTACCTATTTACCCACTCGCCACCATCTCAACTCTCTCTCTCTCTCTCTCTCTCTCTCTCTCTCTCTCTCTCTCTCTCTCTCTCTCTCTCTCTCTCTCTCTCTCTCTATCTCTATCTCTATCTCTCTCTCTCTCTCTCTCTCTCTCTCAGTTTACCAAGCGCTTGTTTGCACAGTTGGGCATATTTGGTGTAGCTAAGGTGTTGGCACCATCAGCTCTTCACTCCTGTGTCGGCGGAAACCCGACATAACAGACATGAACAGACATGAACAGACTGGACCGCAAGAACTTTGTGTACTAGTAGTACATGTTTTGTTTTGTCAGTTGCCGTTACAAACGTATTCAGTAGACCAGAGTGCCTCTGTGTGTTAGGACCTGAGCACTGCGATAGACGAGGAGTATTGAGACAGCCCACTGGAGGAAGCCCTCTACTTGAAAAGCAGCACGGATGGCCGTTACCTAGGCTACGTAGATCACCGTGGTTACGGTCCATCGTAGATGTGCCCGTCACGTCCATCGTAGGTATCTGTCACGTCCATCGTAGCAGTGGATCTATCTTGTGTGGGCCCCTTGATTTGTTGCTCATCAGTCGTCGCTATTGGCATCATAGTCGTCGTGGAAATCATCATAGTCGTCACTGACATCATCTTAGTCATCACTGACATCATCATAGTTGGCACTGACATCATCATAGTCATCATTGCACGGAGTAGGATTAGGATCAATTCATGGTTTCTCTCTTTAGTTAGGTTTTTTTTATACTGATGATGCTCCCCTAGATATCCGATACTCCATGTACACATTGTTAGTCTTGTGTATAATCCACTGCTTGGTCTGCATGTTTGTGATCCTCTCAACATCTCGTTTGAGCGTGTGCTATTTCTGCTGAACCGTTCCGATCCACTTGGAGATAGCCTAGCCTGAGTGTGTGTGTGTACATGTACATGTATGTGTGTGTGTGTGCACGCACGTGTGTACGTGCGCACTTGTGTGCGTGAGCGCGTGCACAGACCCGTGCGTTTCATGTACGGCCTGGTTTGTACATGCTGAACAGCGTACATGTGGTCAGTGGGTGCCAGCGGAAGATAAAGAATTGACCGTACAGTGAAACCTGTCTAAGACGACCGCTCAAGGGACCTTCAAAATGTGGTCTCTGTTACCAGGTGGTCTCCTTATCCAGGGCTATTCGACTGGGAATAGCATCCCTTGATCCTGGTTTCAGTAGTCTTCTTGGACAGGTGGTCGCCTTTACAGGTTTTACCATATAGTCGTTGGAGCAAAACATAGCCACAGTAAATCGTTCAATATTTCCCTCAGAGCCTTGGAGCCGTGGCATCATTCATGATCCACAGAAAGAAGGCAACAATGCTTGTACAGACAGACCTCGCTTATCCGGTCCTCTTTTAAGCGGATGCATTGCCATGCGGAAGAAAATCGTTGGTTACCGATTCACAGCATATTATGCCATGCATACACACAGTACGTGTGTTGGATTACTGTAATTTTACAAATTTTCGGAGTACTTTTATTTTGGGTACTTTCGGTGCGTCTGTTTCATGCCTAAAATTTCAATACACCGAACAAACACTAACACACATACCGTAAAAGTCCGTAAATAAGTACCTGCCCGAAAGAAATACCCCCTTCATTCTTTTGGCTCTGTCTGGTGAAGTCAAGTCAGGCCCGATAAACATACTGCCCGAAATAAGTACCGGTATGGTGCGCACATGCAGCACGTAGCATGTACATCGACATGAAAATGACTTCTCCACTACACACAAATCAGGTCCGAAAGTTAGTTCCTGCCCGAAAGTCAGTACCCACCCGAAAGTTAGTACGGGTGTGGTCACTAAATTCAAAAGTAAATACGTACTTATTTACGGACTTTTACGGTAACAATAGGGAATTGCTTCTCTGTACCTAAAATCTCTGTTCACCTAACCTAGCTGGCCTTTTGTCCTCACACCGAAAATATTGAGCACCTAAAATTTCTGAAACTAGAGTATCCAGTTTCCTCGCCTATGCGGATATTGTTTGTGAAGAACGGGTGTGTGCGGTTATGCGACGTCTGACTGTATGGTGAATGAAGGCAACAATAACGCGGCAACACATCTCCGATGAACGCATGCAGTTGGGTGCCCTGCCATAGGTCATGTGACGTGGAAAAATTGGTGTTGGCTACTAAAGCAAAATGCAGCAGTTGGGGCCTTTCTGCCGCTCACCGGCTGCTAAGTCTCATAATACATGTACTAGTAATCGAACGCACACAAATTTCACTGCTGTTGTTCTTAGTGTTATTTCTCTAACTTAGATTTTCTCTAATAGTTCAATTTTGTTTCCGCGTCCTTTAGTACAACAACGATTCCTGATGAGTGTTGTACGAAAACTTGTTTGAATACTAGTACCGTATTTTACCGGTTGTAAGTCGACCCCGGTTATAGGTCGACCCCCGTATCCGGAGGTCTCAATTCTGCGTTTTAAAGTTTCCACCCAACGAAGCACTACCGTTATATACCAACCACTCCCTGCTACTAACATATCAACAAATCATGTAAACATTCCTTATTGGAGGGTATAACGTCCCAATCCTTGAAAAAGGCCAATAAACTGGCAAACATGTGTACACATGGTGCACTCATGCATGCAGGGCAGGTCATTTTTTGTAAGATTCTGATAGTTCCCGGTTATAAGTCGAATCCCGGTTGTAAGTCGACCCCCACCCTTTCTCCTTCTATTTTTAGTCGTAAAAGGTCGACTTACAACCGGAAAAATACGGTAATGTCATTTATTACTTGAAGTAATTATTTTATTTGGATACAGTGTATGATTGCCTCGATTGCCTACTCTATTTCTTCTGGCTTTTTATAATGACACGTTGTAACTGTACTCTCTGCATAGCTAGCTGTTTCGACCGTGTCATACAATGTCACTGCGCAAATAGCCGGAACAAGCGAAAGGGGCACGCGAATAAATCGTAGACAGTAGACTCCTGATAATAACAAAACACCATTGTGCAGGAGAAACAGCTCTTTATAGCCGAAGATCATTATAACAGAAATGCACGTACACCGTGGTTCAAGCTGGGACGTGGACAACGGTTCGCTATTAAGTATTATCACAAAATCCGCTATAATTATGTGAGCTCGTTATAAGTGGAGTCGAGTGTCTACAAACATGCAAGTGAAATATATTCTGAAATTATTGCCAACCTTTACAAGGTCAGGTTGCTGAGCGGGACTCCATATTTTCAACGCTGACTGCCACTATCAGATGGCGAAGTAACGCTAGTTAAGTTGTGTCATTGCGCAAGGGTCGTGATTCTCGTGAAACATCCGCGTGGCATTGCATCACAAAACGGTACAAACACGGCACCAATCTTGCTAGACAACTAACTTACTTGACAAGTCCACATGGCAGACTTGCTTTGTCAATTATCATGGGAAAACGTACTTGGAAAAATAATAGTTGGGAGATAAGTGTCAAGGAGTTTAGACTCCAGTACTAGCTACTTAAAAGGACAGATAAGTGTCCGGGAGGGTAGAGATTCAGAATCCGATCGGTAGCCCACATAGTTTAGTTTTGGCTCGTCTCCAAAGCAGTGAATATTCATAGGTGCTCCAGTACTAGCTACTTAAAAGGACAGATAAGTGTCCGGGAGGGTAGAGATTCAGCATCCGATCGGTAGCCCACATAGTTTAGTTTTGGCTCGTCTCCAAAGCAGTGAATATTCATAGGTGCTTTCCCTCAAACGTTAAATCAATCAACACAAACAGTTCAGAGAGTTCAACGTACACTTATTAAAAAAAAATTAAATATATATTGTGAGTTCAGTTCAAGGTCGGTGCTGATCACAGATAGACTCCCAGCCCTGGGTCACACTTCTAGTACAGCAGCTGTTACCATGATATAACTCATCAGGTACGATAAGAAGCCAGCATTGCATGTCTGTGCACACTGGACGATGAGATCGTTGGAAGCCTCGCAGCAATTCAGCGTCCGTGTGTGCATGTGTGTGTGTGCATGTGTGTGTGCATGTGTGTGTGTGTGTGTGCATGTGTGTGTGTGTGTGTGCATGTGTGTGTGTGTGCTGTAGGGAGGGGGCAGCACAGGAGGGGCGCAGCACAGGGGGGAAGGGGGGCTCAAGCTGTGGGGCAGGCATGTCAGAGAGTACACCAGAGGTACTATAACTAGTATCATATGTCCCTGAATATATGTCGCACTTTGTCACATTACAATTCAAGGGAGAAAAGGGATTGCAACTTACAATCGAGCATGACTTACTACTGAAGTGGATATATCGAAATATTATTGCTCAAACCTGAAAATGAGTGTGAGACTTGTAATCGAGTGAGACTTTTAATCGGGGAAGTATGGTACTCTGCATAGAGTAGGCGCACGATAGTGACAATACAGACCATGTATAGGGGATGGATGGAAGTGGAGCTGCACATTGTGTTGCATAGCCACCACTACTTGCGGGCCGACTGAATGACAGGCCCGGCGGAACCGGTCCGGTTGGTCAGGCCATGGCCGGACCAACGTTTTGGCCACCGGTGTGTGTTTACTGCTGAGGAGATCATGTGTCATGCCCACCATGTCATACAAAAAAGAACGAAAGGCTAGGGTATGACCAGACCTATTAAATATTGCTTCCGTCCGCCGGTCCTGGAATGGACGCCGTGAGAGTTGAAAGCAAGAACCTGTTACCCACTGGGCAAGTGTTCTCCATGGCGGCACAATTGCCGCAACGCAAAGTAACTCTCTCACTCATGCCACAAAGCGGCTGGAAGGCTGCTGGATGTCAAGCATGACTGCCGTGCACTCAGTGTTACATCGACCTGGGTGTCAGGCTTTCGGCATTTCGACACGGCCAATATCCGACAGGTACCGGCACATCAGCCAAGTCACATCACGGTAAACAAGACCTGTCATACACTTCTCGCATGGCTTACTATTCACTGATCATGAAACAGGCCGCCGCGTTTGGGGGTGGTTGTGGTGGGGGTGTAGAGTTTCAGCATCTCACCATGGCCTGTGTCAACCAAACCTGGCACTCATTTCTCGCATGGCTTGCTATTCCCGTCAGGAAACAGGAAACAGGCCGCCGTGTGTTTGGGCCGGGTGAGGAGCGGCGGCAGCATCGAACATCGCGTCCATGCACATGTCCACGTACACTCTGGTCGACACGTCGCCTGGGTACGGCGGATAGATCACCACCCGCCACCCGGCGCGCTCCAGCGACGCGCGGCTGCACTCGACCACGCCGTTCCACGTCCGCTGCGCACCACCATCACCAGCCACCGCCGCCGAAGCACCACAGCCACCGCTCGCACTCGTAACACGCCCGTTCCCGACGTCTTCACCGCCGCCGTCCTCGCGATCACCAGTGGCGGTGGTGGTGTTGGTGGTGGACCTTGGCGTTGTTGCTGCCGGTGAGTCGATCCACTGATCCGCGTCCAGCATGATACACGCCACTGGCACTCCGGGGAGCGTGGCCGCCAATTCCGGCCGCATGAACGACGGATGCAGGCACATGGGCCAGGGCGCGATCGTCGAGTCGCCAGTGCAGATGAGCGCCGCGACCGCGAGCGGGCCGTAGGGCACATGCACGTTAGTCATGACGCCGTGGTAGTGCCGGTGGAACAGGCTGATGGGGAACGCCTCCAGCGGCCCCTCGGTACGGAAGCGGTTCACGTTCTCGAGACGGTGCACGACGGACAGCGCGTGCTGCCTGCCCACGAAGTGCACCAGCTGTTCCAGGAGGCGCACGTGCGGCACCATGTTCTGGAAGTAGGGGTGCTGCAGCACGCCAATCATCGTGTTCACCATGGACTGCGGCGGTGACACGCCCTGGGCAACAAACGCCCAGTTCAGGCGAATGAAGCGCGATGCCAAGTCCATCTGGGACAGCGTCGAATCTCGCTCCATGTGAAGATCGAAGCTCAGGTACTCGTGCAGGGCACTGCACAGTTCCGGGACTGGGTATCTGAAGAAGCTGAACATGAATAGGATACGCTGGCAGAACGATGGCGAATATGGACTCTGCGGCCAGTTTGCAACGGTCCTTAGCATATACTTGGACGTCGCCTCCATGAACACATCGTCGCGGATACGCAGCTGAGTCAGTAGTTGGCATGACGACGACAGGCGCAGCACGTCCCGCAGGGTGGGCGTGTCGCGGCGCTCCGACATGGCCTCGCCGACCTTCCTGGTAACCATGACGATGAGGTCGACGACGGGACCGAGGGAGATGATGGTCGGCATCACCTTGAAGACAGAAAACAATGGAGGAACATCTGCTCAGCCAATTAGTCTAGTACACTAGTATTGGACGTTTCTTATCCGGGCACCTAGGAAACGGGCACTGCACGTAGAAGCTGGATGTCGTCAAGCTAAGCCCCTTTCTGCATTTGTCACAAGCACCAAGTCATTCCTAGGGTTCCCAGTAAAATGGCAACGGAGTTCCCTAGTAAAATAATAAATTCTACTACTGCTGCTGCTGCTGCTGCTGCTGCTGCTACCGCTACCACTACCACTACCACTACCACTACCACTACCACTACCACTACCACTACCACTACCACTACCACTACTACTACTACTACTACTACTACTACTACTACTACTACTACTACTACTACTAGATCAGGATAATTCAGCTACTGCAAAAGCAGAAATTTCGGTGGCGTGATATTTTCGGTATTCTCCAAAATCGGCGGTTCGGCGGAGGGAAATTTTCGGTATTCTCCAAAATCGGCGGTTCGGCGGAGGGAAATTTTCGGTAAAACCCGCGTTCCAGGTAAGTTTACGAGGTGATTCGCAATTTTTGGACATGTCGCAATTTTTGGACAAACCAGTTAAATACGGAAGTAGAGTCCTCCTGAGTCGTTGCCCTTTCCTTGGTGGACAAATCTTTGACAAGAGTGTCTTCGTGTGGTCCTCAAGTTTCTTCCTTCCTATTTTTAGCAGCGAAAGGCGTTTCTTTCTGGGCGTTCTCTTTACTATTCTTAGGTAATGTATTGAGTAATTTCGAAAATTTCGATTAAATAGGAAATAAGGCCACCCTTTCTTTTTTCGTTGTTTAACGTCCGCGCCCGCGTACCTTTTTGCCTCCGACTGGAAAAAAAAACAAGAAAGTAGTAGTACCAATAATATGCGAAGTTGTAAATACATGATTGTGTAGTTTCACAGTGTGCCGATCATGACCTTAAACTTATAATCTTGCCTCCCGGGCATGCCTTTGTCTTGTGTTCTTTTTCTTTTTTTGTTGGTTTTTAAATATCGTACGGTGTGTGTCCTAGTAGTAGTAAAAATCCAGATGTAATGAATTCATGACATGCTAACTCCATGCTATGTACCTGTTTTGTTGGATTCATCAGGCATGTGCTCCAATGTACCATCAAAGAGTGTTGTTCTATGCCTGCAAGTGCCGTTAGACCCAGAAATATTGTATATATCACATGCTTTACTGGTCAATATGTTTGATTGGGGTTTCCAGTTTTTGGAATGGGCTTTTGTTTTTTTTCCGCCCTCCCGCGTACCTTTTCGCGAAAAAAAGGACGTTAAACAATGAATTAACAAAGGGTGGCCTAATGGAGGATTCCGTCAACTCTACGTCGCATGACGGAGAGAATGTCGACATGGGGGATGGTGTATCCCTTCCATCAACCCCAGAGACTACGTCTTCCACCTTGAATCCGCCTGGAAGAGTCTCCTCGTCTTCTCAGCCCGTGCATTTGTGGAGGAGTTCTGGTCAGGAGAAATCTCTTTTAGCAGTGCGAGCGTTCCACTCACCTGGCACCAGTGACCACTTCCTAACAAATAAGGACGCAGCGGCTAGTTACGGCGCTAGCCCTTCACTCTTTGCGAAATATGAGAAGGAGATGTGCCACACTGGAGTGCTCTCCTCTGTTCTTGAATATGACGTCCATGAAAACCCTTGAGTGACCCTTTAAATTGTGTGTCACATTGAAAAACCTTGCTATGAACGTTAGAACTCATATCAGCCGGTCTCATAGGCATAGCCTTACCCCATTTTCATGTCCTGTGCAAGTTTACTTGTCCACACCATTGCAGACTGCTGCTAGATGCTATTTAATTTAGTTGTCCAATAATTGCTCGCATTGAAAAAGCAGTAGAAAAAGACACCTTCGATCAGGTCAAGTTGTGGCCACACGCTTCAACTCTAGGCCTTCAGGTGGGTGTGGTGGTGGTAAAGCATAAGTGTGCCAATAGAAAAGTAAGAAAAAAATTTATATTACAAACCAACATAATAGGGTGCTATTTAATTTGAGTGTCCAAAATAGCAAATGACCTCGTACTATACCGAAATTTTCGGTGCGTTTTATTTTCGGTAAAAACTCGGCACCAAATGCTACCGAAAATAAACACTACCGAAAATAAACACTACCGAATATAAACACTACCGAACATTTCCGCTTTTACAGTACCATGTGTGATATGATTTTTGAAGAAGTTTATTTGGCACGTACTGTAGAACTGGTAATTCTAGCCACTATTAATTTTAGCGTTTTCCCACTGTCAACTGGTTAACGACGTGTTATTTTAGCGATTTGCAGCGATTTTACTCACGGATCACCAGTGCACTACTAATGTCTCAACGGATTAGCGACTTGAAACTCTAGCGAAAATGAGTCGATCGCTAAATTCGCTAGGGTTTTTACGTCGCTAAAATTACCCGTTCTACAGTATTGGACATTTTCAGGTTACAAATTTCTTTTTTTCTCCCTTTCTCTTTTTCTTTTTGAGTATTTGCAGTCTGTGTTGTCTGTGTTTTTCTCTCTTTCGTGGAGGCTTGCTTGTTGTATCCTTGGCTCTCGGCCGTTACTTTATCGCCATCATAATATTGGGCAGCATTGCCCGTTTGGTCTGCAATACAAAATAAAATTTCAACAACAACAACAAAATAATCCATTGATAAAAATGTTTGGATATTACAGGTTGGCAGTGACGACATAAGAGCTTGCGCACACGAAAAGTTCAAACCCCCAATTTCGATGCAGTTTTGCCATAATAGGACCTCAAGCTGAAGGTGCCAAGTAGAGAGACGTGCCCGTATCTGAGGCGTCCAGATAAGAGGCGTTTGAGTGTACAGCTATCCCTAAGAGGAAGTTCACCCTAAATTGAAAACTTCACAACCTATAGGGAAAAATGCACTAAGTCCGATGGTGAAGGACCGGTTGATTGGAGCAGCCGTTCCCGAGTTATACCAGCTTGAAGTTAGCACTAAATTTGGTGATATCATGATGACGTCATTAACTTGCCCAGACTAGGCCGGATTTACGACGTCAGAGAGATAGACTTTGCATGGGAGTAGATGGGGAAATTTCAGTATTTTGGCTCTCCATTGTCCCAAAGTCGGATCTTTTTCACACTTCGGTATGGGAAATATGGCACCCTGCCGGTATCCCGACTGGAAAAAATTCTAGTTCGAAATTCATTGTTGCAGAGAAACAAGAAAGAAATTGGTTTTTCCCCATCTCTACTCCAATACAAAGTCTATCTCTCTGACGTCATAACAGCAGGTGAAATACCACCACCATCACCACACTCCCTCGTCACTCCCATCTCCGAATCTGAAGTCGTCACTGCCCTCAAGCGTCTGCGAAATGGGAAGGCTTGCGGTCCGGATAAAATCCCAGCTGAGCTCCTGAAATACGGATCCGAGGTGCTTGCGCCGGTCATAGCAAATTTCGTCAACGCTGCGCCTCTCGCAGGGTGCCAATTTATCGACGGCTATTGGACCAGGAATACTCATACCTCTTTCTAAGCCTAACAAACCCAAGGGTTCTGTAACAAGTCTGCAGCCCATCGCTTTACTAAACTCCATCTGCAAAGTGATATCGATCATCGCGCTTCGGCGCATCACGGAATCCGGGGCACTCTCTCTCGTCCTCTTGGTACTACACAGTCCGGCTTCCACCCGAGCCGTAGTACAGCCACGAGTTCATAACCCCCCAGAGTGTGCAACTCGACTATGGGTGCTGTCCCGACAGAATTTCAAGTTGACGTCATTTTGATGATGCGATGCGCACTGTACATGTTATTGTGTTATCAGACGTATCTGAACCTGTGGTGGAAAAAGCCCCGTTTGACCCGGAACAAATTAATGCAAAGAAAAACTTGTGTTGTACTGACACCCCGTACAAATGTCATAAATCACTGGTACAAGGAGCATTGCATCAGAAAAATGACGTCAACTTGAAATTCTGTCGGGACAGCAGGGTATGTGGGAGTTGAACACTCTGGGAGGTTATCATACTGGCCAACCCTCCCGGTTTTCCCGGGGAAAATCCCGAGAAATCAACACTACTCCCGGGGATTTCAAGCAAACTCCCGGAAAAGTCACAGTTTTTTCTGATACAGGATTTTCCTGAAAACTACATGGATCCGCCCCGAATGTCCCAGTTCAAAAATATGTACGGTGCCCATTCGCACTTCAAAATGTGCACGTCACTTTCAAGACCTGACCAGCCTAGCGCTAGCTAGCCTGCAAGATCTGCACTGACAAAGTGACAGGCGGGCGCCGACTGATCGAACTGCACTGCAGGGTCGAACTGTGCTGTACGCAGATCTGCAGAGTCGAACGCTTTTTGGCGGGAAATGCTCTTTTTCACTTGTTTTTTTTGTGCCATCCAGGGATTTGGAGAGAAACCCAGGGATCCTGCATGTCTTGTCAAGGGATTGAGGTTTTGGTGGTTGGTCAGTATGGGTTATGTAGTCGTGGTACAGCGGATGTGGCATGGACCCAACGGTGGATCGCTGCAAGAGCCATTCGTTACCGACTGGAATTTCACATACTAGGCCTGGACATGTCCAAGGCGTTCGACACGATTAACCGTCCGAAGCTACTGGAGGTGATGTCTGCAATCACCAATCCAGATTCACATGTCTCATCCAACATCTACTCCACAACACAACTATCACCGCTAGGATTGCAAGTGCCACAGCTGAACCGGCCGTTTGAGAGCACTATCGGGACACCACAAGGCGACAGTCTCAGCCCCGTTCTTTACATCTGCTATCTAGAAGCTGCACTGCAGGAATGCAGAACTCGTCTCGCGCCCCGCACTGCCGGCAACGCAAGTTTACCACCAGAGACGGGCAGATAATATCTCCTACTATTCAACCTGCAGGCTGTGGCTTGAGAATGCTCTGTCCGTAATAGCAGACACACTGCACGATTGGTCACTAAAAAGTAAATCCAGATAAAACAGAGTGGATCCATGTGTCGCGTTAAGTCAGCTGTAGAATCGAACTTTCGTAATGCTAGTGTCCTGTTTGTCTACACAACGGCTCGTGCCTTCATGGTGAAGAAGGACGTCCTACCCACTCTCAAAATTATGTCATCTTATTTACAACTTCGAGTGCCGGCAATGCGAGAGCCAGTATGAGGGTAGGACCCTTCAGCACCTGGAGGCACGGATCCACCAGCATGTGCCTCGTCATGTTATGCCTGTTGAGGCAAGGTCATCGAGGCGCAGGCGAGGACGTCCCCCCAAAAATGGTTTTAAGACGAGCACTGCACCCTCCCTTGTGACGGAACGGACTGGGTTGCCGTTGTCTTCGTCGTCTTCACCGGTATGTTCGTCATTGCCTTCGTCTTTGTCGCGTCCGTCTTCTATCCCGTCATCCTCGTCGGTATCCTCGGTTTCGTCGTCATTGACTTCCTCGTTTCCTCGTTACCGTTATCGATTTCGTCCACCTTGTGGGAGGGACCAAAATGTTACATGGTATCCCTACAGTCCATTCATAAAAAGATGGGTCCTGGCTCTGGCGAGCTCCCGTATTTGGCGATTTTTCGTGATTTCATCGTACACAGTGCAGTGCTGCGAACTTTGACATTTGAAAAAGGGTCCAGAAAGGGTGCCTGAACTGGGGTTCGAACCGCAGAATGCACTGTTGCAGGCGGGGTCAAACGGCCTGGATTTTGATGGTTTTCCCAATTCAGTGCTTTTGGGGCAAAACCTGGCCGAAATCCTATTCTTGCTATGGCTTGCTTTTTGGACAAAAAAACTTCAGAAACATAATTGGAAGAGGATTCCATATGGGATTGCAGAAAAAAATTCTAAAAAAACTCAACGTTTGACCCATTTATGGCCAAAAGCTAGAAGTTCATTTTTTTCTGAATGGACTGTAGTTTGTGTATCAGTCAGCATTGTGCTAGCTGTTGCACCTTCTTACAACACAACATCTTGCCTATACAGTCAACTTATCTTATATCGACACTCGGCGGGGCATCAGAAAAGTGTCCATATTAGCGAAGTGTCGTTATACCCGAAGTCTCACTATAATGTATTACAGTTGGATGGGACTTTGCTCTGGGCATGGAAAATCTGTCGTTATTCGCGAATTGTCGTTATATCCGCAGTCGTTATTAGCCAAGTTGATTGTAACTGTTAGTGCTGGACACAAACTACGGATGACATTTAACAATTTGGTCCTTTCTTTTATAAATTTAAAGCCAATTCAATGACAATACTCACCTTGAAGCAGCGCAGCAGGGCCAGCATTGAGGTCACGCACACGCACTCCGGGATGTGGTGCAGGAGGACGTGCCGCGTCGATATCAACGCCGCGCCCATCTTGGCCGACACGTGATAGGACGAGGCGAACGACACCAGCTTCAGCATGTACACGACGTCGCTGATACCCACGGCGTCGGCCTGCTGCTGCCCAATGTAGTTCAGTACCCGTACAACGTACTGCTGAAACGATTCAATGGTCTCCAGTTGTGTGTGCATGAGCAGATCGTCCTGTGATGCCACGCGGCCCAGCGAACGCAGGTGAAAGTTGCGCGTCAGGTTTGCAAAGCAGCGCTCCAGCATGTGCTGGCGGTCGGCGGAGGACACCGACTCGAGGCGCATGACAAACTCCAGCGTCTCCTCCACGCGAACGCCCGGCTGCTCCAGTGCCTCCATCAGCACCTGGGCTTCGTCGCTCAAACGCCGGCTGGTGGCAGCGACGGCGGCGGCGGGAGATGACGATGGCGGTGCGGGTGTGCGTCCTCGTGCGTCCCGCTGGCCCTCGCTGGGTATCTGTGTTGGGCGGTGACGGGGGCGTGCTGCTGCGAACGGTGAATCTGCACTAGTCTCCGGGACCTTACTGCTGCTGGTGGTGGTGGTGGTGGTAGTGGTGGTGATGTGTGTATAGCTCTTATTGCCGATCGCAGCGAGAACGTCCTCGGCGCTCTCTAGTTCAGGTGTTCTGCGCTCGCTCTGGGTCTTCGCTGCTACCGGCATTGCTCTTATTGTGCTGTGGCTAGCCAAGCGCTGATGAACACGACACGTGTGGAGCAGGCCAGAGTCACGTGACAGCAGCAATGCATCGTGACGTAGTCTGGTCGCCTGGTGACGCAGGATATGTCGTTGTGGGTGACGATTCGCAAGGCTGGCATATCCACATCCACGTCTGCTGCTGCTGCTGTACGAATATGTGACTTGGACTAGCCGAAGAGGGGCACATCCTGGGCTGCCTGCACAAGTCAGTTCTCTCCGCGCGCCACGGCTAGCCAGTAGGTGCAACATTCCACGCCAAGTCGCCGTGTACGCGACCAGCGCATTCAAATATTTCGGTCCTAATGTGACGAAACGTTCTTAGCTGCTAGTGTCACACTATTTAGGTCAGCAGCATGAGACGGTTTTCACCTGTGCGATCTCGACGCCTGCACGAATTGCCACCATACGGTTAACTAAGCAATGAGCCTAGTTCGAAACCGACTGGAAGATCCCACCAAACACAGAAGTAACAATGTCCTTATCAAAATTTTCTAATTCAATGTTTGGAGAGCTAGATAGAGGATACTGTAATGTGTAATGTTCGGAAATGCGTGTTGATGTTTTCCACAAAAATAATGTTTTGTAGCGCACGCGCGATCGCGAGCGCGTAAAAGACCCTCGTATCCTGGATTCCTGGTATCGTAGACTCTACTCGTACTCGTACTCGTAGAGCATCCGCACTGCACTGCACTGCATGCATGCGCATGCACTGACGAGTCTGTCCGGCCGTCTAGCGTCTGTGTTCACGTCGTTACCATGGACAGTGTTGTAGTCTAGTCCGAAGTCGTAGCAACAACAACGTAACGCGGTCGGCCCGGCCTGCCTCAGTCAGAGTCAGTGCCTGTGCATGTGCATAGACAGACTCAGTATGCGCATGTGGGGTGTACTGTAGTGCAGATTCTGACTACACTACAGCCTACAGAGTAAAATCAGTGCTACATAGTGGCAGTGGCAGTGGTCTTTTTGTGTTGATCTCACACTCGCACTTCGCTGTGTAGGTCTACTTTTTTAGTACTGTATCATGTATGTATCCGTGGCGCCAGTTTCGAAGGTCAACAACACACTAGCACGAGCATCGAAAACAGGAGATCAGATCCTGTCAATGCTCTACAGAGCTCCGTCTAAAAAGTATAATGCCTTATATTATTAATGGTCTAGACTCTAGCTCCCCGGCTTGATACAATCTTCTTTTTTTTGTGCATGCTTCCTGCCAGCCATGCCATGCCACTCTCCCAGTCTCAGTCTTGTTGAGAACTCTTCTTATCGTGACAGAGCTGGGTAGTTTGGCTAAAAGTTGTCGTGTGCTCGTGTGCTATCAGTGAGCAGAAAGAGTACAGTACATGTCATTGCACGACTCTGAATACTATTACCAGCTGTGAATAGCGGCCCGGCCTAGTACTGGACACCCTTGACTGGCTTGAGCCATTCAGTTGCCGAATCATTCGCGCCGGCCCCGGTCTCTGTGTGAAGAGGTTCAATGTATGTGATTGTCGTGTGAACTGAAGGCCTCAGAAAGGAGTTTACTTGCTCCATTATTTCAGGGCTGCACCAACTTGTAATTCGTTAGTGGAATTGTTTCTCTTATCGGCGAGAACTGCGTGACTCAAACCAGCCGAGTCGGTGGTGAGGGCGACCATTGGTTTTAGACTGTGGGGTGCACCGCTGACGGATTTATCTTGGCCACGGTCGATACACGTCACGGCGCCGCACCATGTCGCAGGGCTCGCTACCGAGCAGAACGGGCAACGGCGGCGGCGGTGCGACCGCTACTGGCAATGGCAGGGCGTCGGCACTGCTGTCGGGCGGTGGAGGCGGCAACCTCTCAGCCAAGGATCTGCTCTCTCGTCCGACCACAGAAGCAAAGGTATCAAGGAATTATAACTTATATTATAATAAGTAGTACATCTCTACATCAGTGGTGTACTGTCGAGGACATGGAAATCCGGCCTTCAGTGCGCACAGAACGTTGCATGCAGTGCACGGTCATGTTGATCGTGCCGGTACATGCGTATGCGTACTCACGGCTGCATGGCCAGCATCCTGGCCTGGAGCTGCTTGACCTCCGACCGGATTTCCATGTCCACCACAGTAGAATTACGACAGTGGAATTACTCTGCATTATTTTGACTTATTGTACAATCAAGATTACATAGCCCACACCCCCAGAGTGTGCAGTGCCTGATCCAACTCGCCAGGGTGCGCACTAGCACTGTACCCTTGTACCATAACACCCGCAACGAGCCCATTTACGAATAAGGATCAGGCCCGCCGGAACCGGTCCGGTTGGTCAGGTTATCACCGGACCAACTTGTTGGCCACCACACATGTTTACTACTGTGGTGGGCATGTATACCCAGGCGCGTGCCCCGTATGGGTTCCTGGGTGCCCGGAACCCCCCCCCCACCCCTTTTCGCTCAAAATGCAGGATTTAGCTTCATTTTTTGAAAAATTCCCCGGGGAGGCCCCCCGCAAACCCCCTTGAAGGGCACCGGCGCACACGCCTCGTACCCGCCATATATACAAACTGTATGAACAGCCATCATACTACCAGACCAATAAGCCCATTGCCCATTGCCAAATATGGAAGGTATGAGTAATGCATGTGCGTACGCTGGGGTCAGCAATGCACTGTTCAACACCCCAGACGACCATGCCCAGTTGGCTGTGTGGGGTGTTTGTGGTACAAATTACGTCATTGCCCAATGGGCTTATTAAAAACTGTTCCCGGCGGTCCTGCCGGGTGTGTTGTGTTTCTTGTTCACGCCAAGGTTGTTGTGGAAGGGACACGTCAATCTCACCAGCTGGATGTGGACAGCATACGCCAGCTACTCAATCCGTTCTCCTCGTCGCTCTTTGGAAACACGGATCCAGCCATTCTCATGTGAGTACTAGTAATGACTTGACTGTTTTGTTGGCTCTCTGTGCTCTACCCATCTCTTTCTCTCTGTGCGTTCCGGCCAATCTCTGCAGCTAGTCTTTATCTCTCTGTCTCTGTCTTTCTACCCATCTATTTATCTATCCATCCATCCCATCCATCCCGGCATCCATCCATCCATCCATCCCGGCATCCATCCATTCATCCATCCCGGCATCCATCCATCCATCCATCCATCCATCCATCCATCCATCCATCTCTCTATTCATCCACCCATCCATCCATCTCTCTATTCATCCACCTCTATTCATCCATTCATCCATCCATCTCTCTATTCATCCATCCATCCATCTATCCATCAATCTACCCATTCATCCATCCATCTATCCATCAATCCATCCATCTCTCTATTCATCCATCCATCCATCCATCTCTCTATTCATCCATCCATCCGTCCATCCATCTCTCTATTCATCCATCTCTCTATTCATCCATCCATCCATCTATCCATCTCTCTATTCATCCATCCATCCATCTATCCATCCACCCATCCATCCATTCATCCATCCATCCATCCATCCATCCATCCATCCATCTAACCATCCATCTATCCATCCATCCATCCATCCATCCATCCATCCACCCATCCATTCATCCATCCATCCATTCATCCATCCATCCATCCATCCATCTATCCATCCATCCATCTAACCATCCACCTCTCAATCTACAGTAAAACCTGTCAAGGCGACCACTTGGATAAAGCGACCACCTGTCCTAAAAGACCACTAAAAACTGGACCAAGGGATGCTATTTCCAGTCAAATGGCCCTGGATAAGGAGACCACCTGGTAACGGAGACCACGTTTTGAAGGTCCCTTGAGCGGTCGTCTTAGACAGGTTTCACCGTATTTATCTTTCCATCCACCCACTCATCCATCGATCTATCTCTCTATCTCTCTATCTGTCTATCTGTCTCTTTCCAATCATCTGCATGCATGCAGCACTCACACGTGCACACGACGGTTGTATCAAACAAGTCTTATCCGGACTCCTCAGATACGGGCACCTTCAGCTTGAGTTCCTATGGCAAAATTGCTTCGGTTTTGAGGGTTTTGAACTTCTTCGTACGTTCAAGCACGTATTTGTCACTGCCGCCTTGTGTAATCCACACATCTTCATAGAATCAATTGACTCTTTTTAATCCTGAACATGTGCATTACCTGCCCGAAATTCTTCTTTAAAAACTGATATGATACTGTAGATGCGCTAGCTGTCTTGAGAGACAGGCAGTGCCCGGTCGTTAGGCCCTTTGTATGGGACGTCGAGTGGACTGAGCCCTGCCTCAACTCCGCCCGTCTTGCTCACGATATGCTTCATACGTTGCAGGGCATTGACTTCACTCCACTCTTCCTGCTTTTGATATAATTATGTTTAGTCAAGCCATGGACGGCCCAATGTTTTGACCAGACGCGTGTGTTATTAACTGCTAGTTAGGTCATCTGTAGCCACCACATCACACACAAAGTATGAAAGGCTAGGGTATGGTGGGACCAATCAACAGCTTCTTCTCGCCCGTGTTTATGCTTCCTTGTTTCCTTGCAGAGAGCGGTCTTCCTACTGCCTGAGTAGTTTGAGTCCGGAGAATGACGTGGTTGCGTTCGGCGCATTCTGCAACTACCCGAAGCAGCCGCGAATGAGTCGCCGGATTCCGCGCCACGACTGGCAGGGCTGGATACACGAGCACTATAGCAACACAGACGACGTCAATGTAAGTGCTGGGCTGGGTGTGAGGTCAGCAGGATGGCATTACAGTCAACTTTGCGAATAACGACATTCGACGGGGCATCAGAAAAGTGTCCTTATTCGCGAAGTGTCCTTATATCCGAAGTCCCATTTGAATGTATGTGAACCCATATTTTGTATAGTATGACATGCATATCGAAATGAAGCTCTTTTCATGCTCTACGTCAATTTGTACTTTATTTCCGTATTGCAATTGAGAGGAACTATAAAGTCAATATCCAAGGGAAATAAATTGAAAAATTAGCCTTTTGGAGCCATCTACAGGGACAAGTTCATGTTCATGTACATGTATGAAGATTAATGTGCAATCATGTACAGCTACATGTACAATAGGTGTGCTGATCATTCCAACTATTTTGAAGCAAAATTAAAAGCACCACCACCACCCCCCCCCCCCCCCCCCCCCCCGCCCCCGCTGTATCTTCTTGTATGTGTGCCTTATCCATCGCCACGGGTCCTGGTACTTCTGCATGACAGGTACTTGAAATAGCTGTCAAAAACCCGGAAAGTCGTTATTCAAGCAGTGAATATGACCTCGGGGCACTAAAATCGTGTCGCTATTCGCGAATTGTCGTTATTCAGATAGTCGTTATTAGCGAAGTTGACTGTATATGACAAGATACAATTTTTTGTATTTCCATCGGTAGTTGTGTTTACGAAGCATAGTTGCCGTTGACTTGCGAAAGTGCTTAGCCCACGCAGAGGAGCCTGCGGCACAAGTCCATGGTATAGCATAATATATTATATTGGTCCTAAGAAAGGGCTTTGTGTAGCAAAACAGGCCAGATTGGTACAAAGTGTATCGGCAGTTGTGATAGCCCCTGTGCTGTGTACATAATCAATACAAAAGAGAGTGATGTCCAAGGGGGCAGTATAGAATCAAGTTTTCTCGGAAACTGGCCAGCGTGACTTGGCGCGTCCGAGCTGCAGTCGATTTGAGGATGAAGACCTCCACCTTGGTGACATGCAGCGCCCTTCTTCTCTGATGGAGCCCCCCCCCCCCCCCCCAGCCTGCCATTCAATGAAAATGCAGTTGGTATTCACTATTCACTATTCACTACTAGAGGGTTCATAAAGGTATATTTGCTTGGGGTGAAGTCGGGGATCGGGGATTTGCCCTGTATGTTGCATCTTGCATGGAAAGAATAATTTGGAAAATGGAAAAAATGGGTCACAGGGTACTGTAAAAGCCATATGTATAACGAAGTGCTAACTCTAACGAGCCGAGTAACGAGGAGAAATCTGTCGTTAAAATAGAAATCGTTACACAGAAATCGATACATATACTGTCATGTTGAGCGTTGAGAATGAGTGAAAATCGTTACCTTTGGTACACGTACACTAGTCAATTTTGGGAAATCGTTATATATGCGCCTCGTTAGAATAATGGCTTTTACAGTAACTGTTTCCCATGCACCCCCCCCCCCCCCCACCTCCCTTCTATTTTGACCTGGCTAGAGCCCTGCATCCGATCCAAATCCGGCTTTCCTCCATCAGTCTAACTGTGTCTGTCGTCACAGCAGCCCGCGCATCTCCGCTGTACTGAAGGCTATGCAACATGTTGACCGACGTCTTGATTGTGTCAGTGTCCACTGTTGCAACAGATTCATCATCCACGACGCGAGTGATTGTGCGCAACATTAACTTACGCTAGTCAGCCTTTGAAGTTGCGAATGATTCCAGCGTCGCATGGCTGCAGGATCGATGTGGTGGTGGCGAGTAAGAAGACAACGTTTACGAAAAATCACCCGGTTCTCCGTGAGCAACACGACACAACACATTTCTCTTTCTCAGAATTTGCTGCATGAGGGATTTCCACGCAACGTCCGCTCCAGGGACATCGTCCGTCTCGGCAAGACCAGCCTCCACTAGCTCGCTTGCGATTTCCTTGCCTCTGATCTGATGATCATCCTATCGTAAGCCAACGCCTTCAGATTCTTTGCCTTGCATGCAGCAACTAACGAGTCGAGACCTTGCTCCGTCAGCTCACACTTTGGCTGTCGCTTGCGCTTCGTGCTATTGAAGCCAGATGCAGCGCGCTCCTAGATCTCAATTTGATGCTTGATAACCTTTGAGAAAGTCGACTGAGCAATGTTCAGCTCTCCAGCTAGCACATCCAGGCATTTTCCTGGATGTTCGTTGATGAACTTCAGAACTTGCAGTTTTTCCTCTACCGATATGCGTTTCCTCTGCGACTTCAGGCTACTGCTGCTCACCATCGCAGCAAACAACAGATCCTCTCTACCGAACCCTCGCCAACTTGAAACGAAAACACTCTGGGAACGAGCCGACTCGAAGTAGAACTCTTTCCTCCGACTTCTCTCTTATGCTGCTGCCCTGCAGTCACCTAGCAGGAAAAGAGTGTGACTCGTACTGTGTCTTGGTGCTTCCACTTGCGTGTGCAACTGTTGCCGTACATGTACAGCTGCAGTTTTGTTGGTTGCGATTCTGATTGATCCATGCATATGGTGTCACATGTGACATCATGATTATAGGAAAAAAGGTTTCTTCCCATTCACTCTGCAAACTCGAACTTGTTTCTCAATCAATTTTTACAACGTTTCGGCAAATTACCCTCATCATTAGCGTCTGCTCTGAAGTGTTTTTTTTTAAACTATGAATGAAGCTGCAGGAAGCCTCACCACTGCTACTATGCATATGATAATATTATGTCACACTTGATAAGTACCGGTAATCATATTGAATAAAAAATACCGTAACTGAGAATCAAATGTAGTTCTTCCAACACCTACGGTATAACCGATGCCTACCGTATAGGTACAAATGTGTGTGTGTGTGTGTGTCTGTGCACATGTGTGTTTGTTTGCATGTGTGTATGTGTGTGTGTGTGTGTGTGTGTGTGTGTGTGTGTGTGTGTGTGTGTGTGTGTGTGTGTGTGTTTGCATATGCATGTGTGTTTGTGTTGTTTCAACACTGTTCATCTCCTGCAGACGGTGAATACAGTATTCTGCCATCAGCTGCTTGCAAAGATGGGATTTCAGCTTGGAATGTTCACCGAGATCATAACGTAAGTTCTCAATTCAAGTCCTGCTTAGAAGCTGTGCTGCAACCCACAGTTAATTAGGAACTTGTGGCCGGGCAAGAGGGAGACACGGATGCAGTGAGTGGGATTTTTCGGTCTTTGACCACTTTGCTGGTGGGTCTGATCTACTCACCTCCCACCGCTTTAGGAGCTGCATCTTCGCCACTCAGGTGTGCAAGGCATAGGCATAGTGGTGGCCTGCGGAAGCGAAGGCTAGTTTGTGTGTTTCTGAACATTCAAGCGATGCCAACGCGAATCCCGCGAATTATTATTATTATTATCTTCGGCTTAGATTTTGGCAGGGTGGTGGCGTTCCTGCGGGTGCTGAAAACTCTCTAACTAGGTCTCAAGCGAACACATTTTGTTTCTCAGTAAATCCTCCTGCTCGTGCTCTCCTGGGTGAACATTTGGAAACAGCTGTTGCACGTGGTTAGCTGAGGACTGTTTCCGTGTTAAAGGCTGGAGGTTTAGTGAAAAGAGTTCTCATGAAGAGTGGAGAGTATTGACTTAAAGTGATCACATGCGATGGAAGCTATTCTCGTTCATATGTGCAAGCCAAACTTGTGTGTGAAAAAGCATCATCTGAAGAATGTTCATGGTTTTCTTGTTTACTTGGCATCAAATCAAATCCACCTGTGTGTGTGTGTGTGTGTGTGTGTGTGTCTTTGTGTGTCTGTGTGTCTGTGTACAAGCGCATGTGTGTATTTGTTTGTGTTTGTGTGTATGTACGTGCGCATGTATGTATATTGTTCGCTTGAAGGTCTATGTTCCTACAGATGCCTGACGTCGATCACATATTCTTCACAGCACCGGAAGAGGCTGATGTCGGTATGGACTGGATAGCAGAGCATGCGCTTGGTTTGGTTTTTCGCCTTTTTTGTGCTTTGGAGTTCTTTGTTGTTTTTGGAGAGTTGCATCCTCTCCATCGAATTGGTTTTGAAAAAAACACTCTACGCTTTCAAAACGTAGCCTGTACTCTAGAATTTACCTGCTGCCTTTCTTCTCCTCTCTTTGTCCCTGCCCTATCCACTTGTAAAGCCATTGATTCCCGCTTTACTCATGCCTCGTCTTCAAACAGAATTTTCTGTTCAGGGTGGGCCACTGAGTTTCTTGCCTGATCTCCCTGCACATGTGTGTGTGTGCCGCATGCACACCCAGGCACACGCACACACACACACACATGTCCCTCGGGAAAAGTGATCGTATTTATCGGCCAACAGGGCACGTTTTAGCACTCTACAGCCGCAATGGGCGGACCAGTCTGGTAGAAAAAGCGGTACGACAAAGTCAAAACGTCCTTCAGCGCAGCTCTTATTACGTAGTGTGACTGGGTGGTTTCTATTTTGTGAAACAAATTTCGAATATTCGTTCGGTTTGTCACATTCAAGTATTCGTTACGTCACTTCGAATTTTTTTCTTTTCTGTTTTTCTACAAAATCCACATATCTCCAGACACTGGGGTGAATGATGGAGTGTGGTGGTGGGGCCCATTAAGCTCCGCCGACCAGAGGTCTCGGCTTCATAGCTCCATGGACGCACCAAAGGGATATTGGGTAGGGAGGATTAAATTGAAAAAGAAAACAGAAGAAAGAAAATGGAAAGATTGTATTGCTCAGTGAGCAAAAAAATAAGTTGAGTATTGATGTGAACGCTGTTAGACTTTTAAATTCAAGAGGAGACTGTCTGTGAGGAGAGATTACATGTACGTCCAAGCAGGGTAGGACACTGTACCCTCTTACTCGCGTATGCTATGAGTGGCCCAGTACCAGTTCGTTCTGAGGAGATGGTGCAGTGCATGTACATACATGCACGTCGAACACAGTACAGTGCAGTGCGTACAGGCTGCCAGTGACTTTGTCCTGCATGCACACACGTGTATGCATACTGGACTGCCAATGTTGCACATAACATATATGAACTTCGAAGTAGCCTTATGTGGCAGTACATTTTACGTGGGACTGCTGTTCGTCATACCTAATAATAATGACAAGATCCATCAAATGACTGAGAGGAGGGCATGTGATGTCATCTGTGTTACCAAAAGAATATTTATTCGTTCGTTCGTTAAGCCAAAGAATATTCGCATTATTCGGCTACTGGGTTTTAACATTCGTTTCACCACTACACCCTCGTTTCTTCTCCCCCTTCCCCTTTCACTCCCCTTTCCCTCCCCTTCCTCTCCTCTTCATGTGCCCCTTGCCTTCATTATTCCTTACCTTCCTGCATCAGGTGTTGCGTTGAGAGATCTGTGCGGTGGTGACGGTGGTTCTGTCAAGCGCCGACCAGAGTCGCTGGCATCTGAAGAAAAGTGAGTTGCATGCACGCACCACACACAAGGACCATCATGCACAAGCACACACACACACGCACACGCACACACACACACACACACACACACACACACACACACACACACACACACACACACACGCCATCATACACACACACACGCCATCATACACACACACACACACACACGCACGCACACGCCATCATACACACACACACTTCCACATGCACATCGCTGAAGCGATGATATCGAACAAGCGATGTTAGACATAGCAACTTCTGCTGAGATCACACCATTCAGAGGTTGACGAATCACACACACACACACACACACACACACACACACACACACACACACACACACACACACACACACACACACACACACACACACACACACACACACACACACACACACACACACACACACATAATTATACACACACATATACACACACATACACACACACACACACACACACACACACACACACACACACACACACACACACACACACACACACACACACACACACACACACATACACGTGAGAAGGATTGAAATACCTAAACGCAAAAAAATTCTTGGTCCATACATTGCCATCGTTTGTTTTGTATCTTCTCCATCTTGCCTTTGCAGGGAACGCGAGTTGACTTCAAAGCCACTGCTACCATACCCCAAGTTGCTGCGGTGTAGTCGTCAACATCATGTTCCGATGCTGCATGTACGCCAAGCAAGGTCAGTGTACGCTGTGTGTGTGTGTGTGTGTTTATCGTGTGAGTATGGTGTGTGTGTGTGTGCATGCTTGCTCATCTCCATACACACCCATGTGTGTATGGATGTGTGTGAATGTGAGTATGTGTACACTTGTTGAAATCTTAAAGATTCAATCATAATTTGCAGTACTGTTGTTCGTCCAAGCACGGGGGGGGGGGGGTCAGCTTCCTAGCCTACCTAGACCGTTCTTATTTTCATTGTATTACAGTCTATGCGCAGTTGAGTCACGACGTCTGTATTGTTATGCTGTGCTTGGTGAAATTCCATCCCGTTCGTTCTTTGGGGCCCGACAATACTGTAGTGGTACACATCCTGTAGTGTTTCTACTTGTGCCTGCTGTGTTCCTGCAGGCAAGCTGACAGTGATGACATAACGGCATTGTTCAGCGATGAGGACAAGGCTTCGCTGTGTGATCAATATGGTAGGTTGCCAGAGTCAACTACACTGGACTGCACCTAGAATCATGACTATAGTATCCCTACGCAGTGTTGTCGATAAGGAGAAGACTTGATGTCGCTGTCGTCGCGGTTTGTTTGAAATCTTTTATTCGCAAGATGGCCTGTGGCCAATAAGAGAAGAAGAATTACAGGCTTGGGGATTGGATAAAGAGAAATCAAATTTTAGCTGCTTGCTGAAATAGTAACAGCGGCTGTCATAGCCATCGCCGTTGTCGTCATTGTTGCTGCTTGTAAAAATATTTTTTTTAAAGTCGATGAATACACCGTCAAAGCAAAAAAGAAGGACCAAGGGTTAACAAGTTTTCCATTGTTTACGTCCAACACTAACAACTATAAGCAAGATACCGGTGAGTAAAAACGTTCAACAACTAGCTCAACACTGACTGATGTGATACTGACATTCAACGATCTGATGGTTAGCTGCATCACGTCTAACTTGTAAACCCTTGGTCCTTAATTTTCACTTTAATCCCTGCCTCTCAATTCTTGAATTATTATTTAGACCAATAGAGACAACCAGAATGAAAGGAATTATGATGACCGAAAGCGGATAGTAGAGCACAGGGTAGTAACCGTTGTTGTGATAAATTTGAAAAGATCACGCAGACAGTTGAACTTCCAGACAATGGGCTAGCAGGGTTACTCCAAGCCAGTATTTACTGGAAAGGACTGCATGAAGCAAGTGTACTGCTTGTTCTCTGTCATTACGACTGAAGTTCTACATGATTATAAAATCTATGAAATAAGATGGACACACTTGTTCAGAAATGCACCGCAAAACTTCAACCAAAATGTATTCGTATACAGCAGTTTTGAAGTGTGAGGCAATGATCCAAGGCCAGGCAAGACTGTTCTAGAACGATGCATAGTGTCAGAGATATGTTTGCTGTGATGTTTCCAACACAGGAGAGCACTTCATAGCCGAAATTCTGAAACAAGACAGTGAAAACAATGTATCCCTTGTGGCCGAAGTAAGTACGATCTATCAGCCTCTTTCTGTCTTTGTACCTGTCTCTCTTCTTCTCTCCCTGTCCCTCTCCATCTCTTCCCCCCCCTCTCTCTCTGTCTCTCTCTCGCTCTGTCTCTCTCTCTCTCTTTCTTTCTCTCTCTCTCTCTCTCTCTCTCTCACTCTCTCTCTCTCTCTCTCTCTCTCTCTCTCTATCTCTCTCTCTCTCTCTCTCTCTCTCTCTCTCTGTCTCTGTCTCTCTCTCTCTCTCTCTCTCTCTCTCTCTCTCTCTCTCTCTCTCTCTCTCTCTCTCTCTCTCTCTCTCTCTCTCTCTCTCTCTCTTTCTCTCTCTCTCTCTCTCTCTCTCTCTCTCTCTCTCTCTTTCTCTCTCTCTCTCTCTCTCTCTCTCTCTCTCTCTCTCTCTCTCTCTCTGTCTCTCTGTCTCTCTCTGTCTCTCTCTCTCTCTATCTCCTTACAGTCTTCCATTCCTCTGCTGTCCTTCATCGTGCATGCTTACCTGGGTGGGTGGCTAGTTGACAAGCGGACGTCTTCTTCAGAACAATTTTGCACAATCATTCGTTTCAGCACTGTGTAGTAAGTCTTGTATGGTGTACATTTCTCCCTTGGCTTACAGAAAATAAAATATCCATTCTCTGCCTCTTTCACACGTTGTTCAGCATTACGGAACGCTGGTCGGTTTCGTCAACACAACTTGCAACGTTGACGTGGCAGCGCTGTGCAAGAACTACCAGCTCGAGATCTTCAACAATCTGCGCCCGCGTCCGCAGACCGTTGTCGACAATAAGCTTGTTGATGGTAAAGGTTTTTTCAGAACTTTGACGCTACATTGTAGTCTTGTCATCTTTACACTACACCTCTAACTTGCAACACACGAAATTCTCAGCTACACCATATACACCGATTGTTTCCAATTTTTTTACCCAGGACGGCATCAGGGAAAGTGCTTGATGTTTTCCCTGTTCCACTTGTGCAGCTTGGTGTGTCCCTCACAGCTAGCTGTCAACCTGCGAATATCGTGCGGTGTCTCTGCGTGTTTTTCACTCTCTGTCCTTGTCCAGATCAGCTAACAAAGTCTTCGGAGGTTTTAACCGCTACAAGTCAAACAATGTATGTATGCCTGTGCTCCTGCTTGTCAGTTTCGGAGAGAATCATGCAACCTTCAGTCACACAAAGTCATGTATTGCTGCTACGACATGTATGCATCTACCGTATTCTCCGGAGTAGCTACACTTTATCCTTTGAAGCCCGGCTGGGTTCTCTGATTTCCCGGGCCACTTGCACAGCGATGCACGCAACCACGGATGGTCGATTTCAAAATTTCAATATTCACTCACCAGCGATGGGTTTTCATGATCTCGAGCTCCCTGAAAAGAACGTGACCGCATGCGGATTGTAATCTGCAAAAGTAATGTACGTTTGCTTGTTTGCCTCTGCGTGTGTGTGTGTGTGTGTGTGTGTGTGTTATTTCTGGCAGAGATGGACCACCAGGCATTGCGGTACATGCCCCTAGTCCTGAGCCACCAGCTACCGACAGCAAGCAGTCGTCAAGTAGCATGTAAGGTGTTAGCGCTGCCTACCGTCTTTCCTCTCCTATCAGGTTGATCTCCAGCTCGTTCAATTGCCATCTCTCTCAGACACAAACACTCACTCTTTATCTGTCTGTCTGTCTTTTTGTTTGTTGTGTTTATTTTAATTCGCGATTCAAACGGGTATCTATTCATCTCTGTCTCTCCTCTGTGTTTGTCCTGCGACATACCTGGATATCTGTGTTTCTGTCTGTCTGGCCATCTCTGTCTCTGTCTCTCTATGTGTCTGTCTGTCTCTCCTAGATAATTAATTTTCTATCCATATAGTCAACCATCTATCCATCCCTTCATCCATCCCTCCATCCATCTTTCCATCCACCCATCCATCCAATCCATCCATCCATCCTTCAGCCCGCCCGCCCGCGCGCCCGTCCGTCTGTCAGTCCACCCACCCATCCTTCCATTCCACCCATTCATCCATCCATCCATCCATCCATCCACCCATTCATGCACCCATCCATCAACTCGGCCATTCATCAACCCATGCATCTACCCACTCATCCATCCATCCATGCACCCCCACATCCCTCAGACACTCTCTGCACTTACAAGTTCGTAATCTGAAGTGTCTGATCAAAGCTGTTGCATCTGTTCATTTGGTCCCCTGCTGCAGTGGAAAAACAGGCGGCAAATCCACCACATCCGGTACTAGTGTCACGTCCATTCTCAAGAGCAGCGCTAGCAAGACATCGTCTGCAGCCCTGGGCACGGCTTCAACCAC